AAAATATAGGCTGTTTGAAGAGGAAAATAAAGGGACAGTTGTTGTGTCAACTTTCCTGTATCTTAATCCATTTACTGCTTTGTACTGGGTTGCATTATAAATAAAATGTTTATTACTTATTTTATATTTTGAATGTTTTGTATATTGGAGTTTTGATTTTTACCCTGGGCAGGCTAGTAACCACTTTGGCAGACTAGCAACCACTTTGCGGGAGCCAATGGGGATCCTAATAAAGAACACCCAGCCAATAACATCTAGGTTTTTGTTGCACTCAGGTGAACCCAGAGACCTGGATCATAACAAGCACCAACAAAAAATCCAGTCAGGAGAACATGCAAACTGTACAGAAAGGCTGCAACCAGCTAGCAGATTAAACCCAGAACAGTGATGCTGTATGACTACTAAACCTCTATATAGAGAAGTAACTTCAGAGTGTAAAATACATTTAGTGGCGATTGCTGTGAAAATGCAGACCTTTAGTGGTAACAAAAACAAGTTGGTAAGAAATTTACACCTGCAATAACAGACTTTTAGCCACTTGGAGGCAACAGAGGAAAAGAGTTTGTGAGCACAGCACCAACATAGAATATTTAGAGTTTATGACTGAGATATCCATCCATCCATCCATCTATCCATCCATCCATCCATTATCTGTACACCGCTTAATCCTCACTAGGGTCGCGGGGGGGCTGGAGCCTATCCCAGCTGACTTACGGCGAAGGCAGGGGACACCCTGGACAGGTCGTGAGTCCATCGCAGGGCCACACTTAGAGACAGACAACCAAGCACACTCACATTCACCCCTACAGACAATTTAGAATCACCAATTAACCTCAACATGTTTTTGGACTGTGGGAGGAAGCCGGAGATGACTGAGATAGTTACGCTTTTTTTTTTCTTTCTTTCATTCTCTTCAGCACATTGAATTTGAAGCAAAACACTACATGAAAATGACAAGTCTTGGTTTATATTTGATGGCATCAACATTGCAAGAACTTACACTTGCTAATCTTGTGACACACAGTGCCCAAAAATGTACAGGTTCAAAATCAAGTCAACAGATAAGATTGATTGATTGTCTGATTTTTGGAAAGTCCTTCCATGTTCTTACAAGTCATCGCTACCTTTTAACACTGACTCATCGGATGCATTATTTTCAT